GAGAAGATTAAGAGGTGATATGATAGCCTTGTTTAAATATTTGAAGGAGTGTAATATTGAGGATGGGGGAAGCTTGATTTCTGCTGCTCCAGAGAATAGGATCTGGAACAATGGATGCAAGCTCCAGGAAAAGAGATTCCACCTGAACATTAGGAGGAACTTCCTGACACTAAGAACTGTTCGACAGTGGAAGACACTCCCTTGGAGAGTGGTGGAGTCTCCTCCTTTGGAGGTTTTTAAACAGAGGCTGGATGGCCATCTGTCAGTGGTGCTTTGATTTGAGTTTCTGCATGGCAGGGATGGCACTTGGGGTCTCTTCCAACAGTATGATTAGAGAAATAGCAATAGCATTTACATTTCTATACTCTCTAAGTCAGGGGTAGGCAACCTTTCCCCTTTAAGGGCTGAGGGACTTCAACTCCCAGAAGCCTCAGCCATGTTGGCCAATAGTCCCATGTTGGCCAATAGCTCCTGGGATTCTGGGAGCTGAAGTCCCTCGGCCCTTAAAGGGGAAAGGTTGCCTACCCCTGCTCTAAGTGGTTTACAATCCATAAGCCAATTGCCCCCAACAGGATGGGTATTCATTTTACCAACCTATGAAAGGATGGAAGGCTGAGTCAACCTGGAGCCCTCTGGGATCAAGCTCACAATGTTGTGGCTGCATCACCAGCATGGGTTTTTTTAAATGCAGAAAGTGGCATTGTCAGTGCTGAAATAACAGTGCAGGTTTCACCTCACTACCCTCGGACCACTTGTAGAGCAATGCTGGCAGAAATTTAGCTCTGTCAGTGTTGGCCAAAAGGATATTTGCCATGTGTTTAAAATATGGCTGGTATCCTCAGTTATGATGTAGTACATTAGACTTATGGTTGTGTAACTGTTTCCTGTGAGCCAGCATGGCGTAGTGGTTTGAGTGTGGGACTACAAATCTGGAGACCAGGGTTCAAATCCCTGCTCAGTCATGGAAGCCCACTGAATGGCCTTGGATAAGCCGCACTCTCTCAGCCTCAGAAGAAGGCAAAGGCAAATCCCTCCTGAACAAATCTTGCCAAGAAAACCCTGCAATAGTTTTGCCTTAGAGTCGCCATTAGTTGGAAAGGCTAGATAGCCATCTGTCACAGGGAGTGCTTGGATTGTATGCCTGGCAGAATGGGGTTGGATTGGATGGCCCTTGTGGTCTCTTCTAACTCTATGGTTCCATGATTCTATGGATCCATAATTCTAGATCATGAATCTGTAAGTGCAATACAGAATACCAGCCAATATTTTCTAAACTACATCTCCGTCCCTCTTCATCTTCCTTTCTTTCTTTGGGTTTCCCAGTCAATAAAGTTGTTTCTTGTATCAAGGGATTGAACAGACTCTCTCAAGCACTGTCATCCCTGACTCCTTTGTATGACAAGGGCTTGCAAACTCATCCTGACATTTCATTAGTGGGGCTAATTTGTGTCCCAAGTCTCCAGCCCATTGCGAAAACCACTCACGTCCAGTGATGTGGCGCTCAGATGCAACGCTGGGACAGCAAAGACTACTCTTGCCTCTGAAAGTGTTACGGTTGAGCAATGAAGCTGGGCAGTTGCAGCAGAAGATATGGAAAAAAAGAAAGAGAAGAAGAAGAGGAAGATGTTATTTCAACAAAGATTGTTAATGCCTTAATTTAAAGACCAATGAAAAAACTTCCAAGTGCCCCACCAAACCATGATCTGCTTTGGTGCAGCATCACAACAGCACCTTTCATTTTGGGAAGCAGCTGATACCATGAAGGCTACTTGCTATCCACTGGGGTTTGATTCCAGGACCACCATCTCCTTCCCACAGATACCAAAATCCATGGATGTTCAAGTCCCATTAAATAAAATGATGATATAGTAAAATCATCTCCATTACATAAGATCTCAAAATCAAGCTTTTTGGAAATTATATGTTTTTAAAATATTTTTTTTCAAGCTGTGGATGGTTGAATCTGTGGATGAAGCATCCATGGAGATGGGGACCAACTATAGACTATCTCTTTGGCTCAGTGGGGAAAGAAGTCGGATGTGGGGCTAGTGATTGGATTTTGGCCTTGTTAATTGATTGAAGAGAACCAGCATGGTGTACTGGTTTCAGTGTTGGGCTATGGCTCCAGAGTCCAGGGTGTGAATCCTTGCCTGGCAGAGGGGCGGGATATAAATAAAAATTATTATTATTATTGTTGTTGTTGTTGTTGTTGTTGTTGATATTATTATTATTATTATTGCTCTTCCATGGAAACCCACTTTCTCAAAAGAAGGCAAAGGCAAACTCTTATGAACAAGTCTTGCCAAGAAAATTCCATGATAGGGTTGCTTTGTTGTTGCTATTGTGTGCCTTCAAGTCATTTCCAAGTTATGGCGACCCTAAGGTGAACTTATCATTGGGCTTTCTTGGCAAGAGTTGTTCAGAAGAAGTTTGCCATTGTTTTCTCCTGAGGCTGAGAGAGTGTGATTTGCTCAAGGTTACCCAGTGGGTTTTATGGTTGAGCCGGGAATTGAACCCTGGCCTCTAGAGTCGTAGTCCAATACTCAACCACTACACCACGTTGGTTGCTTTGGGTTCGCCATAAGTCAGAAATGACTTGAAGGCACACAACAACAAAATTGAGGCTTAAAATATGGTTATGAACTGCTCTCTCTCTCATTCTCTGTTTGTGTGTATCAGCCTGAGTTGCCCCTGTGTTTGCAACAGATTTTTATCTCCAGAAACTGGCAGCTGAAAGAAGCTTTTTCACCTGAGAATGTCAGTTAATGAAGCTCTTGCATAAACTGAGGATGGCAAAAGACAACATGCGAACCATTTCTGGAAGATAGACCAGACAAACTGTACTCTTCCTAGCCAAATCTTGCCCATTCACAGTCTGGCTCCTGTAGACTTGTGAATATATAGATGTATGTTTCACATAAGGGGATTAAATGTTTATGAGCCATTATAAATTCACAATGTTTATATTTAATTCATAAATCGTTTAGTAAGCTTGGGATAGGTTAATAGCTAACCCCCAACAGCAGCAAACAGTATTTGGAAGTCATAATACATTTATCAGGTCAGGGGAGAGGAACGGAAAGGGGCATATGCAGAGAAAATAGAATTTTACAGGAGACCTTAGTGGCTTTTCTATCTGCTGAACAAATCTCAGAAATGCATCCGTGTGTTGCGGTACGCAAGGAGAAATACTTAGGCACAGAAAGAGTTGAATGTGAAACTTAAATAATGGCTGGATCGAGCAGGGGCTCAGATGAAATATAGGGAACATATTTTTTAGCCCAAATACATCTTCATTGGCATTTCCCCCCTCCAAAAATTTTGGCATTCAAGTCCGAATCAATCTTTCTGGTAAAGATTGGCACAATATATGAATACCAACCAAAGGTGGAGGTTGGACACAGTGTTTCTCTACCAATGTCGATGGACTACAATTCCCACCAGCCTCAGCCAGCACATGGGATTTGTAGTTTGTTTTGGCATGAGAGTACTCTGACAGAGGTGACTAAATAGCTCACAAAATAGAAATCCCAGGATTCCATAGCATTAAGCCATGGCAGTTAAAGTGGTGTCATACTGGGTTATTTCTACAGTGCAGATGCAGCTAGGGTCAGTTCTTTGAAAAGTAACTTTTTAAAGATTACAACCAGTGGCTCTGTTTTTGGGAGATTTATGAGAGCTCTTTGTGTAGTCAGCTGGATCTCTGCTGCCAGGCAGATGGGTTTTAGAGTCTTTGTTAGCATCAGGATCAAACAGTGGCATGAAAGAATTAACTTGTATTAGTGGCCAGTAACAAGAGGTTATTGTTAGGACAGAATATGGAGAAACAGAATGGTTTCCCATTAGCAAAGGGGCAAGACTGCATTCTGTCACCTAATTTCTTCAACTTGTATGCTAAAAATACCATACAAAGAGCAGATTTAGGCTTAAAAGAAGGAAGAGTGAACATCAGGGGAAGGAACACCATCAATTTAAGATATGCAGATGACACCATACTACTAGCAGAAAACAATATAGGTTTGGAACAATTTCTAAGGAAAGTTAATGAAGAAAGTGCAAAGGCTGGCTTATTGCTGAACATAAAGAAAACAAAAATAACAATCACAGAGGATTTACATAAATTCAACCTAGATAGTGAAGAAATTGAAATACCTTGGAATTGATCAGAAAGTTCATTGATCAAAATGGAGACTGCAGTCAAGGAATCTGAACACTAGGAATGAGAAGGGCAATGGTGAAAGAACTAGACAAGATCCTGAAGTTTAAGCATATAACTCTGAACACTGAAGTTAGGATTGTCCAAGCCATCTTATTCCCCAAAACCATTTATGGATGTGAGAGTTGGAAAGTGAAGAAAGTGGATAAAAAGAAACTAATTTGAGATCTGGTGCTGAAGAAGAATGCTGAGAATAATGTGGATGGCCAAAAAGTCAAACAAGTGGGTTCTAGAAGAGGAAAAACCTGAACTCTCCCTAGAACCCAAGATAACTTAAATTGAGGCTGTCGTACTTTCTCTCATCATGAGAAAGCAAGAAAAGGCAATAATGCTAGGGATGGCAGAAAGGAATAAAAAGAGAGGAAGACCACATGCTAGATCGATAGACTTATTTAGGGAGGTCATGGGCATGAATCTACAAGACTTAAGAAGAGCAGTGGAAGATAGGGGATCTTGGAGATGTTTCCTTCAAAGAGTCACCATGAGTTGAGGTTTACTCAAAGGCAAACAACAACAACAACAACAACAAAGCTTATGCTATAGCAGTAACATGAGTACTGGATGTCTGGCACCAAACAGTACCTCCAGTTTTTGAACTGGACTCTTTCGAACTTCTGTTTGGGGTCTGACACATTCTGACATCTTGTGACTAAAGGAGTCTTTAGGATGAAGGATGAAACCTGCCTTCTCTGACCTCCGAGGATATTTCTCACCCCAGTGCTCCTCTTTGCAAAATGAAGGGCAACTCTTAATAATGTATAGGTAACGAAGTCTCTTCGAGGAAGAGCTCTTGATGGATGCCTCTCTTGATAGGAATTGACAACGAAAGCTACCGGGCCCCAAGTAGGACATGGCAGCCAGTCAATTGTCCTCTGGTGCGGATATGATGCCTTCCCTTGGAGGAACAGCTAGTAATTTGTTCGTTAAGGGGAGATGTCATTTCGCCGGGATTGGTTTCCATGAGGAAGACAAAGGATACTGCAGCTTGCAGCAGGGCAATGGTGGAGGTCAGGACAAGAGCGTTTGCCTGATAAAACTCTTTCCCCTTCCAGCTTGTGCTCTGTTCGCGGCAAAGAAACCTCTTGTCATAGAGGCGTTGCCAAGGGAAGTACACATTTGATGGAGTGATTGACCTGGTTTCTACTCCATCTTTCAGAGTCCCCAAAGAGGCCTACAGAAAATAATTGACTCCACTTGAGGAGCGAAAGGACTACTTATGTCCATGCACTTTTGCACTGTAATACTAATCTGTCAAGGTTCTCCCAGGAACAATTCTTCATGCTAGGAAGTAGAACGCACTCGCCTGATGCCCATGTTATGGCCATCTCAGTTCCATGTGGAAAGATTTTTTTTGTAAAAAAAAAAAATTGCCAGAATTGTAGGCCTATTAAGCTGGAATCCAGTTGAGTAGACTCATCTGGTCAGTTGTTGACTGCTGAGTCAATCCATAGATAGATCTAATTGATTCCATGGCTCTGTTCCAGTTAGGACTAACAAGATATTTCAGGATCCAGCTGTTAGTTTTGTCTAGAGTAGACTCACTAAATCAATGGAAAATTGGTAACCTACTCTTCTATATATTCCACTGCTGTATGTGCATGTCCTCTTTTGGATGGGGCACGTACTGCGAGCCGACGTGGTGCATATATATATATATATATATATATATATATATATATATATAGTGTTGGACTATGACTCTGGAGACCAGGGTTTGATTCTCAGTTTGGCCATGAGACCCATTGG